TTATTTGATAATAAAACCTTTTTGCCAAACATTTACAGACGCAGGTGTGTAAACATGGTAAATGATGCAGAACAAACAGCAGCATAGCATCCTTTATTGTTTATTATTTACTCAAACTAAAACATAAAAGACCATTAAAAACCATTTTAGGTTTAATGCTGAATTAAAATAAAATAAACATTAGGTGAAAATCTAAATGGAATCTAAAATCTTTAAAAACATTTCCAAACATTTTCAGGTTTCATTTAAATTTTATTCTTTAAAAAATGGCAAAAGCACATAGCAAAATTACTTAAAATTAAAATGAAAACTGAGAATGTAAAAATAAAAGCTATTTCAGGACATTAATTATGGAATGCATTTTCTGTCGATTTTAAATAAATAAATTTGATTATAAAAATGGAAACCAGATTAACAATTTCATTATAGAAAACTATATGCAAAATATGCTGATGATTTAATTATTCAATTTTTAATTTAATTTTTAAAGCTGCCAATCTTAAAATGAAAAGGCAGACGTGAAAAAAATGCAAATCCAGTTTTTACAAAGCTTTTTTATTAATGCTCATGCAATAATAGTGACACAATTCAAATTAAAATGTAAAGTTTATTTTTCGTTTTATTGTCTCTTTTATTTCACAGTTTTCATTTTCAAAGTCAATTTATATGCCATTTCTGTGTTGATCAGGGGCCGGCGCTTATTATTCGCGCGACGTATATATAATATATGATTCTGTAAGTCATAATAATGAAAAACGCTCTCATATCAATGACTTAATATCTCATAATAACTCTCATATCAGTGAGAAACTGTCTATTTTACAAAATTAACATTTCTAAAATTTAAGCTAAAATTAAAATGACAACAAAGTATAAAAACAAAAGCTAATTCAAGATATGAATAAATGCTAAACACAAATATAAAAAACAAAAAGTAATGAAAATAGCAAAATTAACAAGATTGCAAACATTTAAACTAAGATGAAGTAAAATGAAAACTGAAAATAGAAAAAAAAGACGCTAATTCAGTAATAGTAATATATTAATGAACTAATGAAAACAAATGAAAATGACAAATGCACACAGCATAAACTAAAACTAAAATAAAAATATAAGATAATTCAATATATTAATAAATATCTAAATATATATAAACTAATAAAAACGACAAAAGCGCATAGCAAAACTTGAACTAAAATAAAAATAAAACAAAAAATACCAATAAATACTATAATAATATACAAAAATAATACTACAATAGCACGTGTGCACAGGATTATGTTTCAGTGGTCATATGCCTCATCTACTGACTCTCTGCTATTGCTATTCTGCTGGCGTTAGTTTCTCTGGATGGCTGCCGTCGGAGGTCCGTCAGGGTCCCAACGAGCGAGTCCAGAGCGGCTGGGCCTGTCAGAGCAGAGCCGTCATTAGCAGCACACACTGATGACCGGCCCTGACCACACACACGGATACAGCCGACTGTGACAGAGAGAGACGGATAGATGACCGCAGCTGCTGCACTCAAAAAAAAATCAGCATTTGCTGAATATTTACTCCCATCAAAGCTGTAGACGAGTTTGGACAGATTTGGAGAAGTGTAGTATTACATATCTTGCTCTGCAGTGAATGGGTGCCGTCAGAATGAGAGATTATGGAATTATATTTTAATCATGGATTAGTTTCAGCTTTTGTCTTCTCCAGATGTTAACTGATGGACTGGAGTGGTGTGGATTATTGTGATGTGTTTATCAGCTGTTTGGACTCTCATTCTGACGGCACCCATTCACTGCAGAGCATCCATTGCTGAGACACTGATGCAATGCAACATTTCTCCAAACCTGATGAAGAAACAAACTCATCCTAATCTTGGATGATCCCGTTTCATTTTTTGGTGAACTAATGCTTTAAGATTTTTCTTTAAGAAGTTTACTTGAAATTAGACTTGACTTCTGAATCAGACTGAGAATTGTCTATTCAAGTTTCACAGTCAAAACCTTTGTGAAAGGATGGTTTTGGTTGTTAGTTTTTTTGGACCTCAATTACTACTTTGTTGCAGCACTGAACAGAAAAAGTGCGAGAAACAGATTTTAATTGAGATTTTATTTATACTTGGTTGTAGTTCATTGCTCTCCAGTGAGCAAAGAGTCAGTTAAAGAAGCATCAAGTAAATGTTTTTATTTTGTATCTATGCAATTCATTTTGAACATAAAATATGTTGGTGAAATTAACACAAAGGGAGCAACTATTTTCTTTTATAGCACAAAAGGAGGACATTATTTCTCATATTTTATATTGTTTTAGACAAGCTACAATCAAGGTTTTCTGAGTCTTTATATATATATATATATATGTTTCATCTCTATATAGTGTAATTTTTTGGCGAATTGCATGGAAAACAATTCGTAACACAAAAGTCGTACCTGGATTATCAATACAACATCAGGAGCGTTACAAATGAAAGTCTGGATATGGATAAACAATCACATCTATATAAAGACAC